TCAATCATATTAATTCTGAAATTTTCGAGTTCCCATTCTTGCTTTCACCTCATCTCAGTCAATTCACTCCTGATGAGCAGGATGTGAAGACATGAGCTGGAAACTTGTTTAAAGCCTTGTAAGAAATTTGCTACAATTTACACCTGCCTAAGTCCTGGGTAACTTCACTGGCATAAATGGAAACATAATTTGGCTTGAAGCATCAGGGCTTTTAATTTTTTGTTTGGTTGTTTTGTTTTGTTTTAATTCGGTAACAGATTGAAAACAAAAATCCAATGACGTCATGCTTATGGTGCAGAATCAATGTATTTATGCTCCAGAGTAAATGAGATAAGGCTTTGACCTAAGTAGCTAAGAAAATACACACAACACCCACTTGCAAAAAGCCTTCTGAAAAACTTTATACTATGGAATGACTCAATCTTTACAAATCTGGGGGCAAACAATGCACAAAACTCCCTCGTGCCAAACCATGTTTTCGTTAAAAAATGTGTTTATTTCAGATGTATTCATGAAATCTTGTAAATGAAGCATGCTCATTTCGCAACTGACTCGTCATGAACCAGCGTTCACCTTTTTTTGTTTGTCTGTTTGGGGTTTTTGTTTTGCTTATGGTTTGTTTGTTGTTTTGTTTTGGTTTTTTTTTAAATGCATTTCAGTTATGTCCATCACCCCGCCCACTAATTGGGGGTTTATAATGGAAACTCTGACCAGGCCTTCACTACACTGACTTGCAGGCAATGTCATGATAAATAATTTACTGTTTAATGACTCCTGACTCAATCACAGCAGGAATGAGATTCACCAACATCCACCCCTCCACTGTTACCCAGGACGAATAAGATGGCAGGGAAATACCACTCTTCTCTGAGCCCATCTTTTTAGCTCCCAATTCAAAAATGAGTATTTAAATTGGTAAAGAGAGAGTTTACCACCACAGTCCAGCCTCTGCGTTTGTTTGTGTTGGACAACACTTTTGTTCTGGCTCGCGTTACTCAGATGGATAAAACTCAGAAGGGTTCTGCTTTACTGCCCTGCTTTCCCCTAGTGTTTCTGCATTTTTTAAATGCTACCAAATGGCTGCTTTTGGCTCCCAGCATCATCACATGCTGTCTATAAGTATGGAAATAGTTATGGTAATGCGGACGTAAATCATAACTGCAAATACCACATAAAGAAGAGACTGCCATATAATTATAAAAATACCTAATAGATTTCTTTTTCAAAGACAACACAGCTGTCCTTTCTAACCTTTAATTTGCAGATTCTTTTCTCTCCTGTTTTTATTTATAGGTTGCCGTGCAGAATGACACAGCACACCATGATTTTTGTTTCTAATTTTGAAGAGAAAAGGAAAAGAAAGAATAGTCATTTCATCATAAAGAAGCATTAGTTTACAATTTTGAAAAGAAACTAACGCCAGCTCTAGAACATCGTCTTGGAACCAATCTCCCTCTTAATACATTTCAAAAGAATCTGTCAATGGCTTCATACCACAATATAAAATTAAACCCTGCCATCAAACTAAGGAAGGGGTCGGCCAAGTGGCACACATCACGTGTTGGGAAAGAAGCCTCATTCTTTCTCTAAACATTTCAGTGTTTTTGTGAAAAGAACCACACTACGTTATTATGCTGACCACAACAAACTAAGATTTTCTGATACCCTACTCATGGAAAAACAGGTTGAAAAGTGTCATGGGTAAACTTACACTACGCAATGTTTGATGTCACTGAAAGGAGTAAAGCCTTATACAGCACTAATGTCCCCCAAAAGGGGGTTACACATTGCCTGAATACTGCCAGAGATCTGCACTGGGTGCCTTTCTGTGCAGCAAAGCCCACATGTGAACTGAAATCATAGCAAGCCTCTCAAGGGAATGAAGTTCATCTTAAACCATCAGAAATGTGCACCTTTCTCTCCCCTCAATTTGCAAAAGGAATAATTATCACTCTGTGCAGAAAAACGCAGAGCTCTGAATGGGTACAGGACATCCTGACTCCCTTTCAGGGAAACAACTAAAACAAATGAACTGCAAAATGCTGGTGGGAAGGATCAGCCTGGACCAGAGGTGTAGTATTAGCTTATTGATACAGCTTATTAAAGCAGATGGAAAGCTCAAGTCCACACACTGCACTAACTGGCCTTGGTCCAAAAATGTCTCATTTTATCAGATGTGTCACTCTGTTGGGAGGCTGCCACGACTGTACTGGGTGACTGAATGTTCAAATAATTTCTCCAGGGGGAAGAGGCTGATCCCAAGGGTTTCCCAGTTCCAAGGGGGAGATCATTTTTCACCACCAGCTGGAGCCTGATGTCAGACATGCCCTTGCTTCATTTATTCTCCTCAGAGGTTGAAACTCAGCTTGTCCTTCCTGACTCCAACATTGTTTCCCATTTGGGCACACAGCAGCTACTACACAGTGAACTGTTAGAACAGGGAGAGCCCATGAGACACAGGAAAATAGTTCAGGGCAAGCAGTTTGACAGCAGGGTGCAGTAGTTTCTATGGTCCCATTAGAACAGAGATAGCTAGGAAGCTTCACTTTGTATTCATTAAGTAAACATATGCATTTCAGCCTAATGTGCTAAAAAGATGCAAATACAAAAAAAAAAAAAAGAAAACC